CATATAAACAGATGATTCTCATGATCTGAAGTTCTTTCTTGTCTTGTAGATGCACTGCTTCTAGTATTGACCATATTGTATAAAGATTAAATTCACATGCTGTACAAAAGCAGAGAGCTTGAAATTTATAAAAATGCTATAATGTGTGGTATTAAATCTATCTAGATGAGTTTTCTATAAGAGATCTCAGATGTCATGTGTAGTGTGGTAACTGAATTATGTAACACATATTATTAGTCATCTTGTCTAGTTAGTATTAACTTAAAAGCTAGTTAGATCTCAGCACTTCACTCATGAATCTCAACTTTTAAGTTCTTCAATCTTCAGATGAAGCTCTCTGCTCTCATGACAGATGGGGTCCCATTCATTTATTCTGTCCCCAAGTATTGCATATATTATTTCTATTTAAAGTCTTATCATTCATATGGAATTTGCCGTCGTTGAGTGGTAGATTATGTTATATAGAAACTACTCTAGAAGCAGAGTGTCAAGTTACTGAGTGGACTTGCTTGCGATGCATATCATCTGTCCATTTCTCCGGCAAATAACCTTCATCCAGCAGTCGAGCCATCCGCTCCTTGACATGTTTTCCTGCGACCACCGGCTGGAACTGCAGTGGATGTTCGGCAGTGCAACACTTGTCCAAAGGTTTGACCACGGCGTCACGGTTAGGATGGCCAAACCAGGCGATTGCATACCGTGCCGGAACGATATTGCTCACACTCTCTCCTACGCGCCGCGTCTCAGCCGGAGACTCCACGACACGATGTTCGGTTGATTTCAGCTGATTGTTGAACCACCGCGAGAGCAGGTCCGCCACTACACTAGATGTTAGTGTATTGCAATCTGTTCCTCACGGTCAAATGGCCTCACCATTTACAATGGCGTGCCCGGGGAGTGGTGGCGCATCAACCCATTGGCCATGCTTGTTTTTCACTTGAAGTCCGCCAATCCCATCGTTGAATAGCAGTGTCAACGTTCCAAAGTCGGTATGAGGGGCGGAGCGCACGCGGCTCTGGAAACTTTCTGCCGTGGTCTCGGGATAGTACAGCAAGGCTGAGTATGAATCTTTCGCTTTCACAGACGGAATCAAGGTCTCCCGATCCAGTCCCACTTTTTCAGTAAGCGCGCGGAGAATCTCGAGGTGCATGTTGAAGCATTCCTCAAAAAATCGTGAAAAGTCTTCCCGGAACTCCGGCCAATTGGGAGGCCAGATATTTGGCCGCGTGCTATCGTAGTCATTGCCCAGCCCGTATGCTTCCTTCTGATCCGCTTTTTCTGGATTTCGCGCGGTGCGCACAGGTGCAAACCAGCCGCGGAAAGCTTGCTTCTCTCCGCCTTCGATTGCCAGTTTTTCCGCTTCCGGGAGTGCAAACAGCTTGTGTATGTGGCTGAAGAGTGTCTGGATGAATTCTTCCGGGAACGTGTAGCCCTTTAAGTAAATGAAGCCAACCTCTCTGAACGATCTGAAGAGCTTGTCCTTCTCCGCTGTCGAGATAGAAGTGTCGGAAGACACCACCCGGGAGTAATCAATGATGGGGAAGATTGGGTCGGATGCCATGGCGAATACAATGGTAGGTCTAAAGACAAGCAATGATTGCAATGCTGAAGGGAGAGGGTGCGGAACGGACACTTGAATACATTAATCGAAACTCTCCTTTTATCCCCTAGGCTTTCTTCGAAGCATCCCATGCACCGGACATGGGACCATGTTCAAGTGCAAATCCAGCCCCGGACGATCTGCTCCGACGCAGACAGACTACACTTCTCCGGCTTGTGTGCATACGAGATCCCCACGGCCATCCGGATCCGACCGATACGTGGCCGGATAAGAGAGTTGGCTCAGCTTCTCTCGATACAGAGGTCACGAACTGCACGTAGCAACCCGGGGAGCGGCTGATCGTTAACTAGTTCCCAGCTTAGTGACAAGAAAGTTGGTAGCATCCGGACCAACCCCGAGATGCCTTGAGTGCCAAACCACCAGGGCGTCCGTCTTCCACACTCCATGCGGCTCTGAACCTAGTAGGGTTATGGCAGGCACTTGGAGCCGCGACGCAGTATTGGGCTGTTGTAACACGAGCCTTGCATTAGCTTGAATGCAAGGGCAAAATACTCGTTGGTAAGACCACATTCTGTAGACATAGCTCCGGTACCCCTCAAGTATATACTAGAGCCCTCATATCGCCGACGGCATGGCTAAGTAGGGCACTACACGCATTCAACAGAGGAATCTGGGTGATTATTTTGCACCGATTCATCCACAATCCCCTAGGTAGTGCCGGAAGTTGTGGTCATGGTTCGACGATCCGCCCCCAGGATTCGACGCCGCGCGTAGCGACCTCATTGAGTGCGAGCAGTACATGGACCCCTATCTCATGGATGTCCAAAAGAGTTATCGCCCAACAGGGCGGATTACCAAGATCCGGAGGCGCTTCAAGATGTCTGCCATACGATTGCGACCTTACCACCTTTGATCAGCACAATGGAGATCGAGATCGCCCGAAGGCATTTTGTCGCACAGGCGCTCGGGAAAGCTTTCATCTTGCAAGGGGGGTGACTGCGCAGAAAATTTTCAACGAATAACGGGCTGACATTGTGAACCAGAAGGTCAGGCTTC